ACGTTATTCATGGTCAAACTGGTGTGGGATTAAGCTCCTAAGTTTTCATCAGTCACATTTCACCATGTAAAACGACTGTTTGTATGAGTTTGTAATGGTTTGACTCTCTTTATAAAGTGCTTCCTGGCTCCCCCCGTCTCCAAACTTTGAGGCCCGGCAGCTCTCTGTTTACAAGCCTAGTAGAGACAAACTGTTTTGATTGGTTGTTTGGGAAATGTGGTGTGTTTGAGGAAATGGGAAAATAGGTTTCATGGTGCAGTCACGCACTTCCTGGTCACAAAACTTTCTGTAAATGTGCATATTATGAAAAAATTATTCATCATTAAATGTGGTTTTAACATTACTTTTATAAAGTTTGAAGTCCGTGTTGTCCAATCCAGCTCACTGTTTTTTACAGAAGCCCTGTGAAAGCATCACAGCTTTGCCGATCTCAGAGTGTTAAAAGAAAAAAAATTCCTGTATCCGCATCGTGATCCGGAACATCACCAAAATTTAAAGTTGTGTTCCTTGGCCCAGTACCCACATGTGATAAAAATGTCATGACAATCCGTCCTCGAGTTTTTGAGTAATGTTGTCCACAGACAGAACGACAGACATACGCGACCAAAAACATTACCTCGCCCTTGGCGGAGGTAATAATTCTCTAAACAAATGTTGGTTCTTTTGAAACCCCTGACAAGTTGACTGTAACTCTTTTTTTTTCTGTTGAATCCAAGTGAAAGCAGGAATTTGCCACGTAGAKAGAAAAGCTCACTTTGCAGAACTTTTACAAAACGCCTCGTTGAGCGTTTGAGGCAGAAAACGTTGTTTTGACAAACAGACAGCGACAGAGCCTCCAGGGTACGTGTAGCTTGTCATATCACTTTGTGAGGGGTTGAAAACCCCCCAGGGTCGTACAAAGATTCAACTTAAATCCCTCACACACACACACACACACACACACACACACACACACACCAACAAAGGACTGTGTTGACCTCTAATATTGTCATTCTGTGGCATGAAATGCTCATGAATGCTGATTTAAATATGAAACGTGAGATTTTCAAAACAAAATACATCCAACAAGAACCCAGACACCACTGAATATAAACTGTAGAAAGCAATATGGGCACCTTTCTGTTTTATTTATATTTATCACCTTGTAACTTTGATAAACGTCCATTATATTTTACTTTATAACCATTTTATAATGCATTAAAAAAACTAATAGAAATTTTGCTTTTGTCTAATCAGCCACAACCTTTTACTTCAGAAAATGTGATGGATTTAAAATTTGAGCTTTATGAAGGAATTTTAAGTATTCCTTGTTTGCTTTTATTTTATTTTTCTCACCTTGAACTATCCAAGCTATTTGTTCCTACAAATAAAATAAGTTATTTGCTGCAGAACATTTATTTTGATGGAGAAAAAAAATCAAATTATTTTCCTTTAAATCTCACAGGCATTTGGATATTTCTCATTTTAATTGAATTTAACATATTTTCATCTGATTTGATGGGAAAAATATGTTTTAATGTAAAAATTAAAAAGTGGTTATTTAGGGTTTTGCAGTTTGTTTTTGATAAAAAGACAAAATATTAAATAAGAACCAGACAGACAGAAGCATCCTCCTGAACTGGCCCTCAACCGGCCCTGAACTTGTCCTCTGCTGGTGTTATACTGGCCCTGAACTTGTCCTCTGCTGGTGTTATACTGGCCCTGAACTTGTCCTCTGCTGGTGTTATACTGGCCCTGAACTGGTCCTCTGCTGGTGTTATACTGGTCCTGAACTGGTCCTCTACTGGCCCTGAACTTGTCCTCTGCTGGTGTTATACTGGCCCTGAACTGGTCCTCTGCTGGTGTTATACTGGCCCTGAACTGGTCCTCTGCTGGCCTTGAACTGGTCCTCTACGGACCCTGAACTGGTCCTCTACTGGCCCTGAACTGGTCCTCTGCTGGCCCTGAACTGGTCCTCTGCTGGCCCTGAACTGGCCCATATTGCATTGGGAGTGAAGAACTACCTGAATAAATAAATGTTGGTTTGTTTGAATGCCGTGCAGGAACTGATCTGTTTCAACATAAAGCAGTTTCTCTGACTCTGATGCTGCAAAAGAAATTTCACTTTAGTAAAAAAAAAAAAAGTGCAACATCTCACTTCAAACACCTGAAGAGTAAAGTTTTCTCCGTTAAGCTGCTGAACATCCAGTTTTCTGTAAATCCAAACTCATCTTCATGGAACTCACAGCTCAACATGAGTTTTGTCTCCTGTCCAGCACCGACCCTCAGCTGTAGAGTCTGACTGTTCTGCAGATGATCTGACTCTTTGTTGTAACTCAGTAAAAAAAAAAAAAAAACTGTTTTGCTCCTTGCTGCTCCAGGCCTTTTTGTCACATTTGACCTAAATTCACACAAAACACGTCRGACATTTCTTTAGGGTGAACAAACTCATTTTAAACAAGCAGTATAAACTTTCTGCTGATTGTCTGATTGTTTTCTCCTCTCAGACTTATTTATATAAATGAATCTCTGCCTGTTGATTGGTCTTTGAGGGGCTGCTGTGACTCTGATGAATGAATCATTATTTTTACTTCCTGATTACAGCAGCTGAGTCTGGAYGAGTCTGATCATCTGGATGCTTGGGTTTTCTGTTAACATCACTTTGAATTTTTACTTTTATTGTTTCTTTTATTACAGTTCATGTATTATGACTTGTTTTATGTTTGAATCTTGTTTTTGCTTGTTTCTCCTCTGGCACCACATTTACAAGATTTACATTTTTTCTTTGTTTAAATACAGAATCATAAGAAGCCTCACTCCTCTGCATACTTGTACACAGAGATTTCTACAAGTGCAGATACTGTTGTTGGATAAATTAATTATCACGACACAAGGGATGACAAACAAGCAGCAGATCTGGTTGAGCTCTCTTTTACTTGCCGCAAGGAATTCATATACAGACATGGTACAATACGTACGATGTCACAAACATGAACTGAATTTCTGTACAACAGTCAGGTTTTTAAAGAGTCCCTTTCAAAGGGTGTTGAATGTCCTGTTATACGACTATGCAATCTCCTGTTCTCCCCAGGCGTTACCCAACAGTTCATCTATTTGGCCCACCAGCCTAATAGCGGGTCGCTAACCTACCGTATTTATTCATGTATAATATGATCTCATGTATAATACGACCCCCCCGAGCTTAAAAAGCATAAAAAATTTAATCCTAAAACCACCTCCAATTTCATACAGACCTCAAGATTTTTCAACCTTTGCAGTCTTTATACATATCAGTAAAATGATCATTGGACTGTTCATTTTATTTTAACAACATATGTACTAAAAGGTATTTTGACAACAAATATGTTATTAGCTGTAGCAGCATCATATGAATTCTGACATTTCACATATAGTCCACCAGGNCATTTCACATATAGTCCACCAGGAGGCGCCAACACAAAAGTCAGAGACTTCACATGAGATTTGGACCATCTTGTGGGGGAAAGCAGATTACTTCCTACTCGCGAGCGCCCCCTCTGGTGGGGAAACTTTTTTCAGGGATACAAACTATTTTAGAACACTGGTAGACGGCAGCCATTACAGACGGACATGTGTGTTTGTTGTTGTTCCAGCAGCGGTTCGGTCACATGCTAATGTCATTAGTTTGTTATCATTACTGAGCTTCAGGAATACTCCCCCCCACTTTTTCCACATCATGTCGCCTGCCTGGATCTGTTATTATCTCGCTCGGAAGCACGGAGGAGTGTCAGAGGTGAGCTCGTTTCAACTGCTTTTTACAACGCGGTCTCATTTCCGGACTCAATAATTTTGCCAATATTTCAGTTAAAAATACATAAGTAAAAATATTTATCTGAGTATAATACTACCCCCCTACTTTATGGATGATTTTATGGATTTAATTTTACGTATTATACTTGAAAAAATACAATAATTCTACTCTGCAAGCTAAATAAACAAGTTACAAAGATATGCATTCACATCTGTGTTTTTACACACGTTTCCATCCACAAGCCATGAATTCAGTTAAAGTAGATAAACACATATCCGCAGTATTAATATATCTTGTAATTAAATGAACCATAATATTTTAGACCACAATTTTAACCAACAACTGTGCAGAAAAACTTACATGTGGTCATGTGACTACATGTAAAACTTACAAGAAAACAGTCAGACTCATGTAGTGTTCCAGTACTGGAAAAGCCACAGCGTATTATTTAGGTAATGACTGAGAGCAGAGTTGTTTAATGTGCAAACACAAACATGGATGCTTCTTGAGTTTGTTGGGAGCAGTGCTGGTTGTAGTCTGACAGCTGATGGGAGGAAGGGTCTCCGATAACGCTCCTTTGTGCATTTAGGATGCAGCAGTCTGTCACTGAAGGAGCTCTGCAGTTCAGCCACAGTTCCATGCATCAGGTGGGAGGAGTTTTCTGTTATTGATGTTATTTTAGCCATAGTCATTCTGTCTCCCACCACCTGCACTGAGTTGAGGGGGCATCCCAGCACAGAGCTGGCCTTCCTGATGAGCTTATTCAGCCGCTTCCTCTCAGCTGCTGCTCCAACAAACCATGCCATAAAAGAAGGTCTCCAGGAGCGCCCCCTGCACTCCAGAGGACCTCGGCCTCCTCGGCCTCCTCTGCCTTGGGCCGAATTTTGACACCTCGGAACCTAAACTGTGCAGGAATGTTTACTTGGGGTTTTAAAAACTTTTTTTAAGTTTTGTTTTACTCTTTAAACACCTGAAATGTTTCATTTCAAAGAT